ATCACAGGGCTACACTTAGAGACAGACAACCAAGCACAATCACATTCACACCTACAGACAATTTACAATCACCAATTAACCTCAGCATGTTTCTGGACTGTGGGAGGAAGCCAGAGAACCCAGAGAGAACCCACGCTGCACGGGGAGAACATGCAAACAAACGTCTAGTTGTGAGGCAACGGTGCTAACCACCGAGTCACTTTGCAGCCCTCCAACCATCATCATTTGATATTTTTGCCTCTACTGAAGGCACAGCGGTGTTGAAATGATCGCCTGTTTGCACGTTAAAAAGGCTGCGAACTAAGCAGTGGGTTCCAGCCCCGGCTTGGACTCTGGAAAATCGTTGTGCTTGAGCTGAGGAGCACCTGTTTCAGCTGTATTTTGCAGGAAGATGTTCTGAATCCTGTTTCTTGACCTCCTCGTGCACTTTGTTCCTTCATATGAGTAAATGCTGTGTCTCTGCAGTCTGTTCTCTTCTCAGGTCATGCAGCTCTGGCCTTTTCTCCTCTGTAACATGTGGAGATTGCTCGATGTCCTCTTTATTCAGATGTTTACATCCTGATTTTCTATCCTGTCAATCTTTTCTTCACTGTTCACACAACATCTGTTTCCTTTCTGTCTCTTCTGTTTTTAAACCCAATACAGGGATTTGAGGGTAGTTTTTCTTATTTGATCAGATGTCTGTATATACGTGTGTGAAACTTGGTGGTAATAAATTCCTTCCCTGTAGATTTAGGTGCTTAAAAGTGCAGGACTGTACAGTTCTTGTGGCCCCTGGCATGAAAACTTTCAGCACTTCAGTGTAACAGTTCTGAACTTTCATTTATTCTATGATTACATACAATATTACTGTGTATTTCAGTCCTATTTTGCCTTTGAGCAGTAGAGATAGACAGGAAAGGGGGGGAGACCTGCAGCAAAGGGTCATGAGCGGGAATTGAACCCACGACCGCTGCGTCAGGGCGCTATAGTCCCTGTTCAGGTGAGCTATAGGGGCGTCCATGTTTCTTAATCGTTCACTTTGCTCTGAATTCATAATGCGGTCTCACCAGAATTCTCCGTCTTCAGTCGAGTTCTGCAGGATGCGATTTTTTTCCGCTGAGTCGACATAATTCCACTCCCTGGACCTGAAACAGACCAAAGGCTTGAACGTGCAGGAATCAGGGAGAAGCAGCTCCTCACGTTAACAACAACAGCAATGACACACCAAACCGCTGCAACGGGAGGAAACAGAACAATCTATGTATACGTTATATTTGTTTGCGCTTGTATCGTGTGTTATAAAAGTAAGCGTTCTTACTTGTCACTCCACGGGCCGTTCCATTCAACCTGACCCCAGGGGTTTCTGACCCGGATCAGCTGGACCTTCTGCCCTCTAAAATGCACCTGAACAACAGGAAGAAATGTCTTTATTGTGACCATGAGATTTTTTTTTACTTCACTTGTAAAAAGCGTGTGGTCTTCAGTCTTTATATCTGGTTTTAAATGTCTTATTGGGCCACTGAAGGACAATGTGATAATAATGTGCGTTTTCTTTGTTTCTTTCCATCATTTTTCATCATTGCTTTTAACAGCTCTTCCAGGATGATAACAACAGCCACCTCTAAGTTGGTTTCGAGCGGAGTCTTACCTCCTCCAGGCCTGTGATGGAGTATGCATGTCCCTTCACCAGGCCGCTGGACGTCTTCGCCTCAGACTCTGCAGAGCTGGTGATCTGGAAATCAGAAGAGCTGGGCTGAAGCACTGAACCAACCTTATATCTGAGGGGTGGAAGGTAGCAATCAAACGGCATAAATAGGAAAATGAATGGTAATCAGGTCCTCACATCAATAGAGCATCCCATCATGGCGCCTCGATCCAGGGCCTTCTTCATGATCGAGAACAGGTTGCTCGGAGCCTTCTTGGTTTCGTACATTTCTCCCACACCACCAGTAAAATCCTCCATGGCCTCCATCGTGGTGCCGCCCTTCAGGGCCTCGTAGCTGCCGTGCACTCTGAAATAAACAGAAAAACCTGTCACTGGTTAACATGGACGTGACGAAGTGATCAAAGAAACAACAGAGTTCCATCTTATGAGTACAAAGATGATGGTCTTTTTTTTTTCTTGGGGGATATTACAACCGATAGTTGAGCAGAGGATGTACAAAATGCTTTATCGCTATGATCTAGGTGTAAAATGATGCCGGTGATGTTACTTGGCGTAGGCTTTCTCCAGCAGGGCGCTCCAGAACTCGTTGTTGGAGGCAGAGTGAAGCATGATGAGGTTGTTTCTCACTGAAGGCAACCTGTCATCCACCACCACGTCCAGCCATTTGTTGTGCTGCCAGAACTGAGAAAGCAGCAGAGAAGAATTTGCAGCAGTCAAAGCGAGTGGTGGCAGGCCTGCTACACAGTATGTTTAAACCTCATTTGAAGTGGATGCTACTTCTGCATACACAAGGTCTTCCTGACTGAAGAGAGCCACAGCTGCAGGATGTGTTAAGAGCAGGATCCTCATTCAAAACGACTGTACCTGGAAGTGAAAGATGCCAGCGTATCTGTGGTCAAACTCCTGGTCATGGGGGATGACTCGGGCCATGGCGTCTTTTTTCAGGGTCAAGGAGGCAATGGCTGCCAGGAGCCAGCAGTCCCCTGTGGTGGCAAACAGGCGCCTCATTGATAAATAAGTAAAATATGTGCATTTGAAAAACCTCAAAGGAACTCGTGCAGATCACTTGAGTACCAACCGAGCTGTCCTTGACATATGTCTGTCCTGTCTGCTTTGCCCACGATGAACCTTGGGTTGTCGCAGAGTTCCTGTAGAAGGGCCGGAGAACAGGTTGGTTTGTTTAAAAAAATAAAAAATCACGACAGGTGAACGGCGACACCTGTGATAGGTGTGTTCGCATTCCAGGCATATTAATCAGCCTGAAATCCCAGTCACCGCAACACAAAATACACACAGCGCACTACAAGCAGGCAGCCGAAGCATTCACTCTGAAGGAACGCCCAGCGCAGAAATGTGGAGTAATTGTAACGAACATGAGCAGTGAATTTTCCAGTTTGCTGCAGTCAGGGAAGCGGTGCAGGTATGTCAGCAGGCAAAGACACTCAGAACTTGTGCAAGATGGCATTACAGGCGACAAAAACAAGGGAGAATGTGGCATGTCTTGAAACACTTCACAGGAAAACTCAAGATACTTTCTGCAAATGTTGATAGTGTCTGCAAAATTGGCTAAACCAAGACAATCTAACACCATTTCTACTGCAGACAGCGTTAAAGCATGTGGGGGTAAAGTCTGCTCACAGAGAGGTGGCTGCCCCTGCACTTGGCTCTATTTACTCTGTTTTCCTGCAGAACTGGTTTTGCAGCCGTGGCTACGAATACTTAATTGCTTTTGTTGTATTGAAAAATAAGAAAAACGAACTTAAGATAAATTCTCATTTCATTCATTGAGCGCCACAGTCGACTAAAGCCGCCAACCCTCATTCAGTTAACTGCCGCTGAGTGCTTTGGTGCTGGAATCCACTGATTTGAGATTAGATTGGTTAGAAGAGACCCGTTTTAAGATTATGAAAGCAGCTATTGATCCACCAGAAAAGAGTCTGCACGAGTCTCATCTTTCTAAAACATACTTTTATTGAATCTAAATTTCCTTACAGCTTTCTTTTATCTCTTTTAATAATGTATTTACCTTCTAAACACTGTATTGGTCTTTTAAAATCTGACTTTTTGACTTGTCTGTTTTATTTTGCTGCCTTAAAAGGTGCTCTATAAATAAAGATCATTGCTATTATTATTATTATCAGATGAAGGGTTCACCTTAAAACCACATTTCATTCATTCAACATCCAAATCTGCCACACAGATTTCACCAACACTTGTGGACTTAGCCTGAGACTTTTTCACACTTTCCCAGTACAAAGCATCAGCCAGTCACTCCTCAAAGCTGAAATCTGAATTGTCCGGTTCCTACATACCTTGGGCCTCTTCCATTCAATGTTGACAGGTACACTCTGGCTGTAGTAGAGTGAGGAGTCAGTGGCAGGGAAGTCTGGATCCTCAAACAGGACCCCCTTCTGGAGACATTCGTGCCTCAGCTCCTCAAACGACCTCCCGTCGTACTGTGTGTTCTCGGCCTGAACGGAGCGCCTGCCGGACAGAGTGGACTGGAGAGGCATCTTCTTCGTCTTCAGGAAGAACCTCAGTGAACGGAGGCGAAGCAGGCGTGAGGCGAAGTGTGATGGAGTGCGTCCTGCTGTGTGTTTGATGCAGGGCCAGTCTGTCGGGTGGGTAGGGCTCAGAGGGGCACACCCTCCAGACACAAACTGGTTTATCCTCCTGTGGCAGCAAACCTCGCCCTGATGACTGTCTCTCTCTCTCTCTTGTCTCTTATCGCTGTCTCTCTCTTTGGGCTTGGCCTGCAGGATACAGGAAGAATTCATTCCTAATGGTGTGGCAACAGATAAATTAAATACCAGGAAATGGAACAAATCAGACTCCACCCCAGTGTGAAGTATCAGTCAAATTTGGAACAATTCCAAACTGTATCCTCCTGCAATGTTCTAAGATTTGGTATTTGATCCTGTGTATCATGACATCAGACGGCCATGCTTTCACCAATACGCTTATTCACAGGGAATCTTTGGATTTGTTGAGATTTCCGTGTATAACTTCGTAGGATCTTCATTTTAATTTAAAATGGATCATTCAATTTGTTAGCGTAAATAATATTGCAGAGGCTGCACGGTGGATTGGTGGTTAGCAC